ACGTAAACAAATTATAAAGTTTATGTACTCGTTCGACGCACAATCTAAGGTTTTTTTTAATTTATTAAAGTTAAATATACATTTTCCGCTTCGGTGCATCGTTACGGAGTTATAGGTGAAAAAAATATATTTAAAAAATATGACTTTTTTGACTGTAAAATGTTTTTCCTTGGTGGCCTGCGTTAGCAATTTTGTTTTTTACACATCTAAACCCATATATTTAAGTTAAAAAAAAGAAAAACTTTTCTCACATTTTTCGCAATGGATTTCTCGTTTCGATCCTCAAGTTACCGGTCTAATATTCTTTAAATCAGCCGCCATTTTTACAGGTAGCAAGATCCGATTTCTAACCATCGGGAGATTACCGATTTTGTTCGGAGTATGTGACCTACATTAAATTAGTTGGTACTCGTTGGACGCAAAATTTACATCGTTTAGGAGTTAGGTGAAAAAAATACGACTTTTTTTGGCTGTAAAAAGTTTTCCCTTAGTGGCCCGCGTTAACAATTTTTTTTTTACATCCCCGCATCGATTTTCAAATTACTGGCCGAATATTCTTTAAATTAGCCGCAATTTTTTAAAGCAGCGGCTCTGGATTGGCAGACAAGCTTCTTTTTACTCTTAATAACATACAGTTTCGTAATTTACAATCAAACCTTCGCCTGAGACGAAGTCGATTTTTGGGACCTGGGCCCAGGGGTATAACATTAAGACCTCCACCAAGTCCTGTGGGCTATGGCTTATGGTAAAAAAAAGTCTGTTCTATAAATAATACTTCAGTTGTGTTATGAGTTTTCTAAGAGAAAAAACTTATGCCATAAATGTTGTAGTGACCTCGTGTTTGAATGATTTACTAAAGTTTATATTTTTAAATATTTCTTAAAATTTTATCACATAATCAAAGAAGCTTTCGCGGGCTGTAGTTTAGAGACTCCTGGTCTAGAAAAAAAGAAAGAAAATTAATGGAATTTTTGTTGTAGTCATAACTTTTTGTACACCCCATTTTATTTTTTTGGTTTCTGAACACAAATTTGAGGCTTGTTGAAAGAAATTTAGACAGTTTTTGTTTTTCACGTCAATTTTATGCAAAATTTAAATAAACAAAATTGACTACATTTATGCTTGTAAAATATTTCTCTTTATTTGTCTGTTAAACTGTTGGAGCTCCCCCCTTTTATAGGAAACATTGACAAGCTCTTTTAAATCTCTGATTTTGATATGTCAACACCAAGACCTATGCTAGAAAAATATTTGTAAAATGTTGCTCAATTTCATCAAAAAATCTATATTGACTCTTCTATCCTTCTGGATCCGCTTCTCCTTTTCTACCACCGTGTCCTATTTTTTCACATTGACTTTCTCTCTGTCATTTGACCTTCATCATAATTCAGTATTTATTGGAAATCTTTACTAGCTATATTGTAACATTGAAAATGAAGAACATGTGTATCTATAAGATTATTGACTTGAGATTTCTCAATACACTCCATCCTTCTGGTATGTTTTACTCAAAATATTAAGTTTTGCTTATAAAATTTAACAATTATTCATTCTTGATGGGGGGAATATATTAGAATCATTGATTTACAAGGAGAATGTTGCAATTTTTCATCCTAAAGAGAGACAGGCAAAGAACAAAAAGTAGCAAACAGAGATTTAACTATAATAGCGATGCTTCTTTCGATATACCAAGTAGAAATGTACTTTTCATGTATGGTTAAAAGAAGGGTATCATTGGTAGTTCTCATGGAAATTGGACATAGAGAGGCATAAACTGTTTTTATCGTCTTTTAGGAGTTTGACATATTTTATAGCACACTCTATTGGCTTAGCAGTTGAACTTAGAGAAAAATGAACTGTCATAAAATTCAGACAAATTTAAAATTTATATTAATTTTTTATACAGTAGCCTTTTCCTAAGAAAATAGTTTTTGAGTTATAAAAAAAAAAATCAATATTTTGACACTTGAATTTTTTTCTTAAAAAGAAACTTATTTTTTAGGTTATTTTATTTTATTGTCTATTGTATATACTTTTGATTATTATTTTGTTCTATTTATTTTATTTTTTTGTACATATGGTGTGAATGTCATCCTACCTCACTATAACCAATGTCGAACAGACAGATTGTTATAATACTCAATAAAGAAATTTTAAGTTAAAAAAAAAAAAAAAAAGAAACCAAGATTTTGGGCATAATTTCTGCCAGCAAACCTTGTATTCATTTAATCTTGGGAGTGAGAGTATAGCCTTTCATGGGCACAAAAGTTTACTCAGTCTTTAAAAAATACTTAATTCAAAATATTCTCTAACAAAATACTACCAAACTTCCATTGTACAAAATTTGATTAAAATTGACATACCTTTATTGAAAAACTAATGGATTAGAAAGTAAGGTTTTAAAAAATAAATCCATGGGTTTTGATAAAATAATTATATGTATACCTTTAATAAAGCAGAGAGATTTAGATTAAAAAAAAAAAACAGAAGAGAGGATCTTGAACTGATTCAAAGCAGAACGGAATTTCCCTTTTCACTTTGTTTTACATAATTTTTAAAAATTTCCTAAGCAGAGTGAGCATGAACACTAGTTATTAGACCTAAATAGGTCTGTCACATACATGCATTAGTCAAAATTTTAAAAATGAATATCAAGATTAGCCATCATATCATTTCTCTATAGCCTCAGATTTAGAGCCCCCTTATAAAATAGTTCTCAATGTACAGCTTAATATGTTAGTAACTCTGGGTTGTGAGAGTACTGGAGAGTGGGAAATCAGCATTTTACAGATTTTTTACTGCGGTACATAATCACAAAGTTCACCAAACTATGAATGGGAAATATGCTCCTAAAAGGGCAGATAATGAGAAAAAAAATATATAGCTGTTTTCAGTTCTGATTTGACCATTTTATTGTCCAGTGTCATAAAATTGACCAACATTTTGAATTGCACCAATAATTAGTTTGGTATTATTTATTAGTTTGTAAAAATAAATATAAATAAATAAATTGTATTTGTTTTTGGGTGTACTTATACAAATGTAGTTGAGTTTATATACATGAAATCAAATTAAATACATTATTATTAAGAAGTAGTAAAATAAAACAATTATGTTTGATACAATTATAAACTATGCACACTATCTTGAATAAACTAATATATAATGTTAAGTCCTAATATTATTATTTACATATAATCTTAATCTTAAACTTAATGATATAGCTATTCATTCTTGAATAAACATAAAAATATTTCTTAATTTTAAACAATCTTCGACATATCAATATAAATCATCAAGTTCATATTTGTTGTCTATATGTAATAATTTTACGATTTGTTCTTTATCGTCAGAATTACCATCAATATATATATACTTAAGTACTTACTTCTAAAAGCTTCATATGTAGGATATTGCGTCAAAAAATGGTATAAATCTTCTGGTTCACGTGTATTACAAATGGGGCATTCAGCATTATTATTCATTAGTTTATGGGGTCCCTATAGTTATTAATAATGATAAGAAGTCCAAGTAAAGTCAATGTTTTGATGCTGATACCACCTTCAGAAGCCAAATTCTCAGTCATACCTGATACAATCATTCATTCTGCAAGATCATACCTAACACATCTCGATCAACCCCTCAGGTATTCATTATTGATTAGCGATTATTTTAGAGATCATTTATTATCCAGCCAATTATTCGAGTTAAGCTTATCTTTATAGTTAATGTTGTAATTCTTGGGGAAGTAGATAATCATTGAAAATAGTCAACCCTTTATTTTTATTTATTAATTTTTACTTTAAAATAAGTTTATTCTAATTTGGAAAAATAATTGAATAATCCTTATCTAGAATTTTTAAAGGTATATTTATACAGAATGTATTTTCAGAAAATGTCATTTAGACAATTTGAAATAATTTACAACCATAGACAAGACATATTCTGGTTTGACTATCTTATTAAGTAAAATAATAAGTCATTATGGTACTCTATTAACTAAATTAATGATGAAGTTGTGGTAAAAGGAATGATTGTAAGGTATGATATAAAGAAATTGCCTTTGTCTGATTTAGTAATACATATCACTGAAAAATGTATGTATTTTATTTATTTTTTAATTTGGAAACACTTTGACCTCTATTGTTTTGCTTTTAATAATTCTTAAAAAAAAAAATGAGAATTGAAAAAGTTACCAAATCAAAATAATCCTTTCCTTTACCGAACTCTTTGTTGTTAATAATTAATATTTTCTGGTTAGGGCTTGTGCTTGTTATAATTAGCTCACTTTTTTAATTTTTTGATCAATGCTGTTTTTATCCCTTTGGTTAGGGCTGGTTTTCATTTCTTTTAGGGAAATCTTTCTCCCATTAATTTAGATAATAAATGTTCAACTAAGTATATTTTTTCTATTAAATAATAAATCATATTATTCATGGATTTTCATGAGACCAATGATAGTATTGATGAATGTAGACTGAATTAATGTTAGGTTCTCTTCTCTCCTTCTCCAAAGTGGTTCTCGATCTTATTATATATTGTCATATATCTAACAGGTATAATAACATTTAATTCAAAAGTTTTTTTTTAGATTTGATGTGATTCAGTGAAGGGATGTATGTAGGTATAGAATGTTAGTGCTTTTGATATCTGGGTTCATTGGTCCTTATTGTGATTATTATGATTTCTGCTGAATACTCTTTTTTTAATCATAGCGATTTGTTTAAAATTCACAAGTTACTATATAAAGTTATCACTTATTAATCTCTTCAAAATACATCTTATTTCCAAGTATTCTTATCCTTTTTTTCAAATGTTTAATATTTAGAGATGAGAAGAGTGTTATGTGGTCTATTAATTTATGATTATATAATAATTTATCAAATTTGCATTAAGCATCTTTAGCTAACTTATTTTGTTTCTTTAAATAACTAGCTTATTTAACATATTTTATGAATATTATGTTAAAATCTTAATTATTTCCTTATTTTTTGGTTTAGTGATTCTCAAAGTTGTTGCTACATTGATCAGACAGTCTAAACAAACCGAAACTCTTCTTGAAGTAAAAAAATTGTTCTTGCAAGATATGACATTATTGTGTAATAACAATAGAGAAAACAGGCGAACTGTTCTACAGATGTCTGTATGGCAAGTAAGTATAATTATTTATTTAAAATTATTATAGAATATTAGCATTGAGTTTTGTTTTGCTGAAAGAAAAACAAATTATATTAACATATCGACTGCTTGAGCCACAGCAGCAAGGATCATGTGGTTTCACCTTTAAAGGTACCTTCAGTTTTTTTTTTTTAATTTTTAAAATATGTATAAAAAAGTTTCAAAATAAAGAAAATACCTACAAAAAAAATTGAGTGACAAAGTGCCCATTTTGATTTAATCATGTGGCATTCAAGGTGTTAAAGATTTTTTTTTTATTAGTCACTGTCAGCCCATGAAGGCCTTGGCATCCTTAATTCTTCTCCACTCGGAGCAATCCTCTGTAGCTATTCAAATACATTTTACTCCACATTTTTAACATAAAAGAGCTTATTTGCCTTTATGAATTATGTAAAATAGCTGAGTTTTGACTATTCTATGATTAATATCGTGGGACTAAATTTAGCAAACTTCACTTGTATAACTTTAATGGTCAAAAGATTTTTGTTGAGCAATTCCTGGTCTTTAAGCACAATTATTTCTTATCGATTGATAGGTTGAAATTTATTATTTTCAATTTTATATTTATCCAGTAAATTTGCTTTTAAAAATTTTAATTTTAAAATAGAGATATTGATTAAAAATAAATGAATAAATGTTATTATTTATTTATTTTTTATATTGTGCTATTAATTAACTTTAATTAGTAATTTACTCAAACAAAAAGATTCCTCCTCCTTTTAAATCCCTTTTCTGGTTTTGTCAAAATTTTGCGTGTAACTGGAATGTTTTCTTGGATAAGTCAAATTAAGATCTGTAAATTAAGCAGTTAGCATTTTGCCTCAGAAGATAGTTCTTTCTGGCCAAAACTTCACAATCTTAATGTATTGACTGTCTAGAATTAGAATTGTATAGCCAACTTTTTTTTTAAACAGTCTTCTTTCAATTATATTTTCAGTAAAAGTTTGTAGTATCTGTCCCTGCATGTCTAGTAAAAATGTTTCTGTTTAAGGAAACAGTGTTTCTTTCCATGTATCTCCTTAATCGAAGCTTCATAATTTATTTCTTGTTTACTTTTCCATAATTTAATTAAACTTGCTTATAATATTGTTGTTTTGTTATGAGCAGTTGTAAATTTAGATTTTAATAATGTTCCTAAACTGATAGTAGGGGTGAGTCACTTTCATTTAAATAACTATTATGGCAGAAGATTAATTATTTCTTCCATTACTTCTTGCTTTTTGCCCAATTTGAATAATCTTTTCTTCATTCTTGTTTTCTGTAGGAAGGTAAAAATAAGAACTCAAGATTTTAAATCTATTAATTAATCTGTCAACATTCCCTTTGAATGGTTATTGTTAATATGGTTGTATATCTTAGCAAGAGGAATGCTTTGAGATGTGTTTCATTTACCATATTATGAACTATGGAGAAAAGGAAAACAGCTTTGATTCCTGGGAATATTACGGATTTTTTTAAGTAACAGATCTGGTATAGGGAGGGCCTGCTCTACCATATCAGAACAGCTCATATGAAAAAAGAAATATTTTTCCTGTTTAGGAAATCAAAGATGAGATTTAGATTCCTATCTCTTTAACTTGGTTGTTAAAGTTTGCCTATAGATTTTATTACTTGAAATCTATTTTAATTTATTTTTTTTTACATATTTATTTTTTATGAAATTTAAAGTTTCAATAATGATTTTATTTGTATTTATGATATATTTATTAATTTAAATTTTATCTTATATTATTGAATTCAACATCATATTTTGAAAATAGGAATGGTTAATTGCAATGGCTTACATTCATCCTAAGAATTCTGAAGAGCAGAAGACATCAGATATGGTTTATTCCTTGTTTAGAATGCTACTGCATCATGCCATTAAACATGAGTATGGAGGATGGAGGGTATGGGTTGATACTTTGGCGATAGTTCATTCTAAGGTAAGAAATTTATTTTCAAATATTCAGTGTTTTCATCATTTATAGTAAGAATTATATATGTAGAAGAAGAAAAGTAAATTTTATTTTGGGACATTTACTCCCCTAAGAATAACAAAAATGAACAAAAGCATTTACAATTAGATTTGTCTAGCACATAAGAAATATACAGGTTTGTGGGCTGGGACCTTGTGTTAATGGAATGGATAGAGGAACAAGGAATAAACAAGTCAAGGAAGTAAAAGGGTTTTTTGGTTGTGAAGATTCGGAAAAGGAATACACACAAGAAATATTAGATATACCTGATAAAGCCACTTCAACTCAAATGGAGACATGGGAAGCCTAGAAACTCCAAAGATGGATCTAATGAAACAATTCATTCATCTCTTCAATCTAATCTTGTCCACTGGACAGTCCATCCTGTACATTGTGGATGGACTATGACTTTTTTCCAAGCTAATGGGAACTGGAATTTTATAAGGAGTGTATTTTACCAAACTTTTTTACCAATCGTCTTGAGGTGGTCATCGACGGTCGATTTGCTAAAGTTAAGTTTCCCTGCAAGTTCTCAAACAGTTGTTCTGGGGTTTTCTTCTACCAAAGCCCGCAGAATATTGTCATCAAGAGAGGAAGTCCTTCCACGACATTCTTTGTCTTCAAGGCTGAAGTCTCCCTCCTGAAATTTTTTTAACCACCATTGAATAGTGCACTCATTAATGCTACTCTCATCACAGACTTCATTGGTGTTTCTGGCCGTCCAGGTTGTTATGCTGATATGTATAATTCCTCCCTGCTACCCCCCTTCTATGAATCCTTTCAAAACTTATTTCTTAAGATCAAACGTAATACAATCCTCTCATCTATGTTTTGGTCAACTTCTCGGATTTTTACTCATATCAACCTCTCATATATTTACCCATTAGTTAGCCTTTTAGTGATTTCTTTCTAAAAACTTCATATTTCCAATTTAGTCATTGTGGTTTTCGGTATTTACTGGGTGTCGTTCATTCATGCCTATTAATTTCTAATTAGATGTGATGCTTATTGATGTTATATTATTTAACTTAATTGATTCTTATAGCACTACAATAATTATAGTATGATGATTATTCTAGGTTTCATATGAAGAATTTAAGTTACAATTTGCTCAGATGTATGAGCATTATGAAAGGCAAAGGTCAGATAACATAACAGATCCTGCTTTGAGACAACAGCGACCTATCAGTACTATATCTGGCTGGGAACAACAAGCTACAAGAACAGTTTATGAGGTAAAATTTTTGTAGTTTGTTCAATGTTATCTTAGCAAATTTAATATTTTTTAAGATTCATGATTGATTAAAATATGAAGTGTTAACCATTCAAGAGGCCATACAAGAGATAAAAACATAGTTATTTTTATTTATTTTTTTACAGTTTTGTAATACTTTGATTTCATTTCCTATTACTAAAATAAGATTTCTATTTTTTAAGTTTAATTTCAATTAAAAAATAAAATACCTTAATCTTATCAATTTAAATGAAACATTTTGTGCTAAATAGTGCAGCTATGTTGTGAAATGGCAATATTGTTAAAACATATTTTATAAAATATTAGATTATTTATAAGCATGATATATCAGTATCATTCATGTCCACTGGTAGTAAGGAGATATTAAAACTTTTTCACAAGTTGATATTTGTAAATGGAATTACAATAAGATGAACAATCATACTGGGTGATTTTCTAGTCAAAGTTTCTGACAATCTTTGAGCAGTTGTTGAAAATTTTATGAAGGGTGATTTTATGTGAGATGTTTTGCAGTATTAACTTTATAAGTTGTTGATACTTCTTTGAAATAAAGCTCCAGTTTATTAATATTTTATTCCAACTTATGCCACTTCCCATTACCTAGTGTATTAGTGAAGAAACACATTTTGAAATAAATATAGAATTTTTAAAAAATGTATAGTTAGTATAGCATTGATCGAAATAGCATTGATTTTTCTGATAAACCAGATAATATGTTTGATTATTTAGTTGATCTTATGTACCTGGGGTCTATATACTCTTAATGCGTATTTATTTTGTACCTGTCAGTATGTTACTTATAACATACTCACAGGTACTAAGTAAATACACTGCTGGCCTTAGCCATTTAGCACCCCTAGGCAGTGATGTCATTTCCCCTCAAAATATTTAATTTATTTCGTAAGCTGTTGTGTCTTAAGTAAACTTTGAATTTTATTTCATTCAATACGTCTCTAATTCAGTAGCTTTATTAATAGGCTAAAATCAATTATTCTCATACGCTTGTAATTTTTTTAAATTCCTAACAAGTGGCAGACGCCCCCCGGCAATCACCCGGGTTGTCCCTCCCTTAGGCCAGCAATGGTTATAATGTAGGAGTCCTCAACCTTTTTCTACTTGAAGGCACATTTATAGGTTAATAGTTAAGTAACTGACATCAATTGGTTTGTGTTTTTCCTAGATTTTTCATTGTTTTTAATAATAACAAGGAATAATTTTAATGCATAAAAAAGTATTGCTTATATTCTTATATAAAATTGATAATTATTTAATAGTACATTGAAAATGTTTACAAGATATGAAATTTCTTTATAAGAGATATTAATCATGTGGTATTTGTTCTGCATTTTATTGTTCACTACTTCATAATTTGGACAATATGATTATAATGTCATTTGAAACAATAAGATGAGTGACAGGCATATGAGCACATAACTAATGATTAGATATGTTGAATACAAAACTACAAACTTTGTAATTTAGTATTCATTCTTTTTGGGAAAAATGATGGAAGATTGACTGGAAATTATTCTTACAATGTTACTATATCAATAAATGACAATATTTAAAGAAGCATGATTGTATTTCCAATTAGTTACTTATTATATATATAAAAAATTATTTTTTTTTAAAATTGTTAAACATCTACACTGGGTAATGCAGTTAATGGCCGCTATGGTGATCACTATGTTGTGAGCACAATTTATCCTAAGGGCACACATTGAAATCACATAGGCAAAGTGGTTCCCACAATCACTGTATTGGAAACCCCTGTTGTATGTAAGGGATGGCTGATACAAAAAAAAAGATTTTTTTTTTGTTTAAAATATATTTTATCAATAATAATGATAATATGAGAAGGAATTAGTCGAGGGTGCGGTCAAATAAATAATAAATTAAAATATATTAATTATTTTAATTTTTGCCGATGTTTGACCCACTTTGCAGGTCGTCTTCAGGGAGTAGGATGTAGCACTGCGGGAAGCAGTTGAAACACTGGAGTGTTTCTAGTGTTTCAACTGCCTTCCGCAGTGCTACATCCTACGCCCTGAAGACGACCTGCAAAGTGGGTCGAAACATCGGCAAAAATCAAAATAATTAATATATTTTAATTTATTATTTATTTGACCGCACCCTTGACAAACTCCTTCTCATATTATATCAACGGTCAACCATCTCTACATCATAATAATGATAATAATTTGTCTACTCTTAGTACTAAAATGTGTGACTTTGTTGTATTTTTAAACAGTAATTTCATGCATTATATATTTATTTTCTCAGGAGTTAACTGAAACCACTAATAATGAGAATGAGGTAAAAAACGATGGGGCAGATGATAGTTCTAAATGGACAAAAGATGAGGTACAAAAGTTGCAAAAGATTCAAGATTCACCAACTGCTATGACCTTAACTTTACATGACATTGGAGAAATTAATGTACCTGATGTTGATAATCCAACAATTCAAAATGAAGATAAAAAATCATTTGCATTAGATTCCGGTAATGTCAGTTTGGAAATGAATAAACTTGAAATGGAAAACAGTGAGGAAGAGATAAAGTTCAGAGATAATATTTTGAATGCAAATGATAATATGTTGAAAGTAGAAGCAGAAGACATGGCAATTTTAGACAATTTTTGTGAATTAAATAGAGTAGGAGACAGTGATAATTCTGAAGTTTATCTAACACCAACGGGTACTGATGGTGAAAGAAAAGACGACTCACAAAACACAGAACTTAGTAGTGAAATTTATTCCGTCCAAAATAGAGATGATTCTGAGGTGAGTTGTGTTTCAAGTAATGAGATTGTTGTAACTGAGGTTGTAACTTCTAATGATAGTTGCTCAAATAACTCACTAGAAAAGTTTGATGAAGAATCCAGCATTCCCGAGGTAGTTGATAAAATACCGTCCACAGTATTAGAAAATAAAGAAATAGACAATTCAGATGGTGCCTCAAAATTATCTAGTTTTCCAGATTCTAAAAAAACAGAAGCTCAAGTTTTTGTAAATTCTTTAAATGGAACCATTGATACATTGAATAAAATTGGAAAAAGTGTAGAGTCTGGTGATGATGTTAAAGAAGTAGAAGATGATGTAGAAAACAACAAAAATTCAAATGAAAGTAACATTGAACAAACACCTCTTGTTTCTGAAACAACACCACTTCCAACTGAAGATAAGAATAGCAAATTGATTGAAGATAAGAATGGTAAAATTAGTGAAGAAACAACAGAGGATATTGAACTTAAAGAAAACAATATTGTTGAACCAGATACATCAACCAGTACAACAAATCAGGAATCGAGTGAATTGGAAGAAAGTTCTGGAAGTAGTACTTTAAAACTATATACTACTGATAGTGACCTGTTTATTACAACTGATAAAAGTGAAGAAAATATAACTCCACATGAACCAAATATTGAAGATAACAGCAACAGCAATAAAGTTGAAAGTACTGTCATTCAAGGTATGTCAGTTTTTATCTAATTGAGAAATTCATATTTTGGTTTATTATACATACATTTGTTTCTGTTTTTATTTTTATAGTTCAAACGATCCAAGAGAGAAAACCTAGTAGTTCATCAATGTCAACACAGGTTGAGCCTGGTCATTTTCAAGGTTTTTATTTTATTGGAATTTTTAAATGCCCTCTTTTGTGGACCATAAATATTCAATAAAATTTAATGATAAAATAGTGTTACCTTTAATGCATTTAATTAGTAGAAGTGTTTTGTTTTTCTGAGGGCTTAAATAAATTTAGAAAACTTCAAAATTTTATAAAAACTAACTGTATGCTCACCATGGAGCCTAAGAGGATTGGTTTATTCGTTCCATTAGCATTTGTTATTTGAAAATTATATATTTTCTCCAATAATAATAATTATTCATTGTATTTATAATCAATAATTTTGATTTGTTCATGAGTTAATTCTGGAATGCTATTCAAAGTTATATAAAATTTATTGATATTTTTTTTGGCATTTAATACCATTCCTTTAATCTTATTTTTAATATTAAAAATTATCTTCAGATTGAATTACTAAGATGAGATTAAATTACTTTCAGATAATCAACTAACTTTTTGTTACATCACTAAAAATATTATCATTTCAACATCATAATATACCCCAAATAGTTGTTTTGGCATGATGACTGAAAGCTATGTTAGGAACTATTTATTAAATCTAAAAACATCAGCATTTTCAATCATAAAAAAAGTTTAAATTTTTTGTGCCTCTCTCCAATGAATATTGAAAGTTGATGCTAATGCATAACAAAAAAAAAAAAAAAAAAAAATCAGATTTTAGAAGTGTATAAAAAAAAGTGGAAATAAAGATGTTCCTTATATTGAATAGAATTGTGATATAATATTCAAAGATATTAATAAAGATTAAGAGTTAAATAAAAATAACTCTAGTTGTGAAAAATGTAGCCTCACATAAATCAAAATAATAACTATTTGGTTAACTTCTTAAATTGTTGTAGAAAATCTCAAGATTAAATTAATAATAGCTATTTATTTAAAATGTGCATGAAGCACACAAAACATGTTTTTATTACTTCAATTAAAATAACGTCAGTAAATAATACACTTCACTAGTTTGTTTCAATCAATATTAAATTTTATGTTGTATTAATTCATCAGGAATCCTTTACAACTAGTAGTAGCTTTTTCCAAGCTCTGCTTCAATCCCATTTATCCCAGAGGATTTAGATTGCTCATAATCTCCACAATTATCTACCAATCTAGCGAGATGTAATTCTCATCCAGTTCCCCCAGTTCGGAGTTCAGGATCCTGTCAAGGTCAGCTTCCAATGGTGCACTGTTATCATTAATGTGATCTTTACTTAATATCTCCTTGAAGTATTCTGCCCATCTGCTGAGATCTTTTTCCTTACCCATCACCAAGTTTCTGTCTTTACTCTTACAAAAGCTGAGGTGAGGTTTAAAGTAAAGTCTTGTTTCTCATGTCCCACATCTCCGAAGAAGCCCCTGGAATTATGGAATTGCTTTCTTCTTCTTGTCACTATACTTCTGGTGTAGTGCTAAATCATCCTACGCCTTGCTTCATTCCTTGCTTCGAGTTTTGTCCTGCATTCTTCACCGAGTCAGTTGTTTCTTGCTGGTCTAGGTTTTTCGCCTTGCTCCTCAATTGCTGCTATTTAAGGCTCCTTTCTGTCCACCTTGATGTGACATAATTTACTCTCCCATCACTTCCAAGTAGCTTGGGCACTCGAGACAAATCCTTTCATTGTGTTTTCATCCTTCAGCCGTTTCATATCAAAGCGAGCCTGCGAGGCTCTTCGTTATTTGTATTTCATACTTTTTCTCTAGTGATTCGGGCAGTTATTTATATGAACTTTTTTGTAGCTGTTGACGGCTGCTATCATCTCTTTAAATATTCCCCTCTACTTACGGGACACCCTGTGTAAGTTTACAATGTTAAATTTTGGTTTTATCCAGTAACTTAATTGATATTATAGTCAAAGAGGAGAGATAAAATAAGAATCCCATTTTTGTTCTTTTTTAATACATAGGAGAGCGGAGCAGCTCAGTGGGTGAGCACTGACTTCCAGAGCTCAAGGTCCTGGGTTTGAATCCGGCTAATGACTAGTAATTTTTCATTAGCCGTGGATCGACCCTGGGATCGGGAGACCCTCCTGGGGCCCACCCAGCCTCTATAAAGTGGGTACTCTTAATTATAAAAAATAATTAAGGGGGAAAACCTGGCGGTTGAGCGTGATATCGGCCCCATCACCTCCCTGCACAACCGTTGGCCTTGAAACAGTACTTCCTCACATAGTACTGCACCCAAGACCCTTCATGGGTTGTAGTGGTACAGGTTTTTAATACATGGACCACAGGAGTTTCTTCTTTTCTGAATCTCAATTTACTTGAATTTTCTTGTGTACCAAAATGTTTGGAGGAATTTGTAATCATTGCAATATGTCAAAAATATTGTCTACATTAACCTATATGAACCCTTTTTATTACAATACTTTTTAGTCCAGAACACCAACTTCTATGTGACAGAGATTTTTTTTTTTATTTCTATGAAGTATATAAAATAATTTAATTTTATGGTTTTAAGTTAGTCCAATTAAAATTAATTAAATAATTTCTATGTCACAAACCGTATTATGATTAAAAAGTGCAACAAGATATTTGGCATTACTAAACTAATTAGGAGATCATAATAAAAATGTTACTAATTCTGTATAAATTAATATAGTCATTCTTTAAAATTTCATAAATTGTTCTTCTTGTCATAATTAGAGTAGATAAGTATGTTAAACCAAATAAACAATGAACTCCACAAATAAAAATAATAAAATCATTATTAATTAATATTTTTGAATAAAATACAAATGATTAGGTAAGGAAGTGTGTTGCTCATTAGGTAAGGCTCTGAACTATAACTTCGGGGTCCAGGTTTGAACTTTCCCTGAATATTTATTTCAATATATGTCCTGTTATATCAGCTGTGAATCAACTCTGGGGTTGGAAGATCCAGTCGTGGCCCTCCTGAATTCTCTAAACTTGGGACCTTGTGTTCCTCTGGTGTTGAACATGAATATTGATTACATCACCTCCATTTATAACTGTTGGTCAAGAAATATTTCTTTGTTATCAAGTACTGAATCCAAAAACCTTCATGGCAGTTTTTGTTTCCAAAATTTAATGCATAATTACTTCTAACATATTAATTATAAGCATATTTGAAAGTAAGCTTGTTGTTTTTTTTTATTACAATTTATTTCTAAATTATTGGTTTATTATATCACGTTATGTTTTTCAGAAGTTAAAAGGACAAAAGGAGTACAAGAAGCCAATGGCCGACCTATGTTTAGTCCTGGACCATCTAGGCCACCCTTTCGGATTCCTGAATTTAAGTGGTCATATATACATCAGAGATTGTTATCTGATGTTTTATTTTCAATTGAAACTGACATTCAAGTTTGGAAAAGGTAATATATTATATGGTGTTTTTAGCTGTATTATTTCAATTGGTTTTCCTAATACTTCAAATCTTGGCTCATGGCAGAAAAATTACTTATTCTATTTCATCAGCCGTGCGGCGACCTTGGGATCAGGAGACCCTCCTTGGGCACACCCAGCCTCTATAAAGTGGGTATCTTTAATGTAAGGGGGAAAACCCGGCGGTTGAGCATGATCTTAGTCTAATTACCTCCTTGCACAACTATTAACAAATAAACAGTACTTTCCCTATATAGAACTGAACACAAGACCTTTCATGGGTTGTAGTGGTACAGTTTTTTCCTAATACTACTATTTAATAATGGTTCATGATCTATCATGTATTATATTAAATATAGACCATTAAGAATGACAATTTTCTACAAGTCATTCTCATTTCTTTAATTTACTAATATTTTTATAGATGGTTTTTATAGTTATTGTTTCATTTTTTGCACATCCAATGGGTTAAAAAAAAAAAAAAAAAACCATTCTGATTCGGTATTTGACTCTATATTTTTTTTTTGATATTTTGAATTTTTGACTCTATACGAAAATGTTTTGAGCATCTTAGACACGAACATATTTTGTTTTTATACATTGAGGATTATATCCATTATTAGGTCAACTTTAAGGCGCAGGTTCATCATATTATCTTTTAGAACTCAGAGCGGGCTCATAGGAAAACTCAACAGAACTTAATTGAAAAAAAAATTTGAACGAAATTGTGATGGAACGTTTACTAATTCCAAAGGGTGAAAATTAGTCTCGGAAAAAAATTTATTTTAATTTGTGTTTTAATAGTTCCTCAGTGACTACAACCAATAATTAATGGTGTGTTTCAATCTAGGATGCGAAACGAAGAAGTTTTTGAACATCATCGTACTAACGCAACTATTTTTTTTTCAAATTTCGAGGCTTATATCCTTTTTTTGGTCAACTTAAGTTCAGATATTCATCATATTAAATTTTAGTACTCTTAGTGTTGTCATTAAAAAACTCAGCAGAACTTAAATTAAAAAAAACATTCGACAAAAATTGTGATGCAACTTTTACAGTCTCAAGTGTAAAAATAAATCTCCAAAAAAAAATTATTCTGATAAGTGTTTTAATAGCTCCTCAGCGACTACAAATAATAATTATACAGGAGTTTCAATCTAGGATGCGAATCGAAAAAGTTTTTGAGCATCTTAAACACAAAAATATTTTGTTTCAAATTTCGAGGCTTATATCCTTTTTTTGGTCAAGTTTAGGGCAGAGGTTCATTATATTATCTTTTAGAACTCATAGCGGGGTCATAGGAAAACTCAACAGAACTTAATTGAAAAAAAAAACATTCGAACGAAATTGTGATGGAACGTTTACTAATTCCAAAGGGTTATGACCAAAAAAAAGGATAAATAAAAGTTAATAAAATAATTTTTAATAAATATAATTTTCTATAGGAATTTTTATTTGTTATACGCCGGGCTTTACTAGCCTTTCATCTCTGAAGAGATAATTATAGAGAATATAAGTTACTTACCCATGATTTGGCCATGATAAATCATTTATTCCACAATTCTAGCTCAGGTGAGAAGGGTTAGGTTGGATATTTTTTTATAAAGCAGCAAAGAAGGTTAACAGATCCATTTAATAAAAGAAATATTTTTATCTTTCTGCCTCTCTAATACGGTGTCATGTCAATATACAATTTTAAAAAACAGCTCATTACAAAGAGGATGAAATTCTGAACATTTATCTCACTTACAGTATGCAAGTTTGATTTTTAGTTTCTGATATATTTTAATCAAACATACAGTAAAAACTACAGTAAATATACAGGAACTACAATAAAATACATAAAATAAGCTGCAGTAAAAACTACATAACAACCTTTTTTTCATATACAGTCACATATCTGATTTAATTCTTAAATTAAATAAGCTCAATAAATAATTTAAATTCATAACATCTGATTTACTTCTTAAACCTTAAACTGACCTAATAGGTTATAATATATTAAATTCCTAATATAATGATTTTATGGCATTTTCAGTTTTATTACTTATTTATTTAATTTTTCAGCCATTCTACCAAATCCGTCCTTGATTTTGTCAACAGTAGTGAGAATGCTATTTTTGTTGTTAACACTGTTCATTTGATATCACAGTTAGCTGATAACTTAATTATTGCCTGTGGTGGTCTCCTTCCTCTGCTTGCTTCAGCAACATCTCCTAGCGTAAGTATTTATACATATTATATATCAAAATGGTTTTATTTTTTGTTTTGTATACATTTTTACTGAAAATATTGTATAGATTCTTTAAGGTATGCTTTTTGTTTTTTTTTGTTCTTAAGGGACCTTGCCCCAGAATGAGGTTTATTTTCTATTCTATTCTATTAGCCTCCAACAGATATAGACACTATTCTGCTTCATCTGCATTTTTCCCTTAGATGACCCTGTCTTGGACTAAAATGAACTATTCAGCAGTCCTCTTAAGGTCCTCCAATCTTTCGTAAAACTTTCTTAACACCTCAGCCGGAGAGGTATTTTTTTGGAATGTATGCTCGTCATTCTATGCACGTTCTCCACACTCACAGGGGGAGCTCGAGCCAATATGAAATTTTCTCAACAGGTGAGCTTTGAGCATGTTCTGCCCCGTTTGCAAGTGTAAGATTAAGACCTGCTCTCATCAAGGAAGTTTGTGCATAGCATCCCTTGGTTCATGATGTGGATGACTTCTGATTCATTTTTGTTTAATATTAGCTTTTTTAAGTGTTTTCACCTCTTCTAGTTTAATCAGCTTACAGTCAAACTGTGGACTCAAGCCCCCTACCTGGGCCAGCTCATTTGGCCTTTTGTTTCCGGGGGGCCACAGTGTCCAGAGATCCATGTGGGGCAACTTTCTAGTGTAAGGACAGCAGACCTTCGAGCTCCTTGGCAAGTTTCCTCAGGCTTTTGCTCCATTTCGACTTGAGTGATTGCAACACTGATGCTGAATCATTAAGGATCACAATTTTTGAGTTTTCGGGTCTCTTTAATGTCTTAAGCAGTCTTGACGCCTTACAGATTTCTTACTCATCCTAATAATTCGAAGAAGTGATGCCAATCGGAACAGCTTTTTCAATAATTTTTCCTGCAGGAAATTGCAAATGGATACCGGTCTCACTGTTCACTGTTCGTTGTTGCATTTCTGGCTAATTCACCAGTATATACATGTAAGACCACAAGTTTTTCGGGTACTTGTTGTTTATATATTCAAGGGAAAATGATTTCAAAAGTTCCTGGGATATGATCTTGATGCTTTTAATATCAGGGTTGAAAAGAACAATTTGTGGTTTCGAAGATTCAAACCAGGGAGGTTTGTTGTCTTCTACTGCTGCTGATCCTTCTACCGACACTTGCTTTTCGAAGATTTTAGAAACCATCTTTGAAGTTCTGTGGAGTATGCTTTGCCGCTTTAGTCTGTTTATATTCCTTCCAGTCACCTTTTTGAAAGGAAAGTTTCAAAACAGACTTGGCTTTTGCACCAAGGTGTAGGAGTTTCACATCTCCTCTGTCCTCTATTGAGGGAAGTTTTGTAATTGCTTCCATTTTGCCAATTGGCATGGACTTTATTCCTCCTGTGATAATCCTTGATTTTGCACTGTTGAGACCCTCTGGAGGTTCAAGACTGTGATGGTCCCTCAGTTGGTGGTTCTATACTCCAAGGAAGGCCTAACGTAGCCAGGTTATAATGACCTCAGTGTTCTCATATTTGTAGCCCAGTTAGATCTGGCTATTTTCTTCATAACGACACTTCTTGTCATTCCCTTACCAAGATTGCTTGATATGATCTTTTTATCTCTAGCTATATTTTCTGGGTCAAGATTTAGATTAAGGGTAACCGGTATGTTTGTAGGGTATTTAGTCTTGATCCCGTTAACTATACCTACTGCTTTACTGTTGGGAATCACATATGTGTTAGGCTTAAAAAATGAAGTGACAAATTTTATTAAACAACCAGAACAGAAAAATAATTTAATGTAAGAGTTTAGAAAAAAGATAATTGAAAAAATGTATTTGTGTTTTTATGTATAAAATGCTTTTTTAAAAAGTGGCACTTTTAATTAGCAGTAAATTGGAAATAATAGATTTATAAAAATCATTTTTTAAGGATTGATATTGCACAGTTACAATTAAAAAAAAAATAATATCTATAGATTTTTTTTAAAGAAAATAAATTATTATTTCTGAATATATCTTTTTGATTTCCTACCATTCTTTAGTTTACATTTTAGCCCCTGTAAGTGAATGAAAATTTAAAAATCTAAATAAAGTGGAATATTATTTATTCAGGCTGTAGAGAAACTAGAAGTAAAATTAACTTGTGTCAGGAGTAATTATAACTTAAAATTAATATTAGAATAAATGTAGCAAAATAAACTGAATTCAACAATTGGAAACTTGTAATGCAGCATACAATTTATGAGATTCATAGGCTCATATAAAAACTATTAGAAATTTCAGGAAAAAATATAATAAAAGTTTACTTAAGCAGAAACCTTTTTTTTTCAATTAGTTGTACATTAGTATACAACTAATGTGTACACTAATGTGAAATAATGTTAATTTTTCACATTAATTTGTCTTTTATTTTATTTATAACATCAACTATGTTCTTATTTTATTGTTTTAATTAACAATTTTTTATATTTTATTTGGACATGATTTTATTATAATCATTCTTATATCATCTTTTCAGAGTGAACTAGATGTTATGGAGCCAACTCAGGGAATGCCTATTGAAATTGCAGTATCGTTTTTACAACGCCTTGTTAATCTAGCAGATGTGTTGGTATTTGCAAGCTCATTAAACTTTGGAGAGCTAGAAGCTGAAAAAAATATGTCAAGTGGCGGAATATTGAGACAATGTCTCCGTTTGGTATGTTATAGGATTTAATCTTGTAATTCTTATGTTAAAGTCAAATATATATAATTTACATTAGACTGATGAAAGTTTTATGGTGCTGATATTGTGAGAAAATATCTTGAGACAACAGAATTCTGTCGTTAATTAACATAAATTTTCAACTCAACATTTCTACATCGACGTCTAGATTTTTCTAGTAGAACTACTGAAGCATTGTCATCAGCAAGTGTGTCTGAAAAAGATATTCGAGATTGGATTAGTTCAGTTGAAAGTATTTTAATGGAATAAAATGCTTTTGATGTTTGAAATATATTTTAGTATTATTGTGTTTTCAGAGTTTTGGTTCTTTATTAACAATCTCAAATGGTTGCTATGTATAGATAGTAATTGTTAAAATATTAAAAAAATGAATTGTATCACGACCATGACTAGATTTTACTATGACCATACCCTGTATATCTTATCCTTAACTGGTATATATGCTGTTGAGGTAGATAAATAGAGTGAACACAGAAGGCCTTGACCAAGCGTGTTAAATTAGGAAAATGATTCAATGGATGAGGAAGAGGCTAAGAAAGGATGACCTCAAGTGTCAGGCGGATGAGCACCCAAATTACTCTCGGTCTGTGAACTAAGGGATGAGCCTTAAGACATCATAGGATGGACACCAAAAATACAGAGATAAGTCTCCAGACTTTGTGAGAACAAGAAATACCAATGAAGGGATGAGCCTCCAGACTTGGTATATAGGACTAGCATGAGGATGAGCATGAGCATCCAGACCTTGTATGGAAGAGAAAGAAGCAGATAGGGTTAAAGGAGCATGGAAGAAAATAATAGTCAGATTGAAATGGTTCCAAAAACGTATATATAAAATATTATATATTAAATAAAATATATATATAAAATATACTGATCAATTGACTACAGAGGTGGTGAACCTGATTCCCATAACATATAGCTGGAGGAATCATACCTTCTTGTAAAACATGGATAACGAGCAGAGATGGGAAAATGCCAAAGTGAGTACTGAGTCCCGAGTATTTTACTCAATTATTGACCTCCTGATTCTGATTACAGTACTCAGATATTCAACATTTATTAAAATGAATACTCTTAAATTTACAGAAGTGAATGGAAATATTTTCACACAACCTTATTAATAAATATTCTTAATTATTAAAAAAAATGTATTTATTAAATTATTTATTTAAAAATATATATATTTACTATATATATATCATTTTATTTTTATATATAGTATTATATTCTTCCTTTTACAATATGTTAAGGTAATTATGTTACACTGTATTATATAATGTTAATTATCATTCGTAATGTTTGTACGTAATAAAAATTCTCGAGCCTTTGTATTTACACTAGTAAAAGTGAATACGGTAGTATTCACGTTTATTAAAATGAAAACGCTTAAATTTCCAGAAGTGAATGCAAATATTTTCACACAATCTTATTAATGAATACTCTTATTTATTTAAAAAAAATGTATGATATATTTTTTTAAATAAAAAATTTAATAAATACATTTTTTTTTAATAAATAAGAGTATTCATTAATAAGGTTGTGTGAAAATATTTTCATTCACTTCTGGAAATTTAAGCGTATTCATTTTAGTAAACGTGAATACTGCCGTATTCACTTTTACAGGTGTAAATACAGCCGTATTCACTTTTACAATCGTGAATTACGGCCGTATTTATATTTACAATCATGAATACGGCCATATTTATATTTACAGGCGTGAATGCGTATTTTCTGCATTCATATTACTTTTTATGAATATGAATATATTCATTTGTACCATAAATATAAATGGTATTCGTATTTTTATTTTTGAATATAAATATGCCCATTTCTGGTTTCAAGTACCATATACCTATAGTTAAATATATAAATTATATTAATTGATGTGCCATTGTTCTAAATATAGACTTTTAATTGTTAAACTCACTACTAATAACAAAATTCGGAATTCTTTTTTTTAATAATATACGACATTACGATCCCGTTATACATATACATCTATTTCATAGTTAGCCTGTTACGCTCTGTTACAGCCTGTTCATTCAAAAACATTTCATGAGAAAACATCATTCGACATCTCTTGGTTTCAACTCTTTCCTAATGCTTTCAAATGTTTGTAAACCATTATGTCACCTATTAGTAATGATTTTCCAGGTTCAGCTTGTGTCTAACATCGGTCTTCATTAAGTAATTTCTCCAATTCTTTTTCTTCAAACTGTTTTGGTGCACCAGAGCATTCTTTGTCCCTAAGATTAAAATAATTATTTTTGAGACATCAAAACCAATCTCTATATGTTATTTCCAGCAGAGAATTCTTTCTTACTTCTACCATTATTTCCTAAGTATATCATATCTATTTTACCACAACTCAGTGATAAATCTTAACCTCCTCCAATAACTGTCTTTGATTACAGTACTGTATATTCACTATACATACAATCCTAGACATTTAGAATAATTCTATTCTCAAAATAGCTGCTTTATCTCCAATCCATTATCCTCTTTTATGTCTTGTGCATTAAATAACTTTATTAATTCTTTCTTTGGAAAATTGTCGTCCATTTGAACAATAAGCATTACCCACCTCGTTTATTAACATTAATGTTTCCAATAATCTACTAAGAATTTTTCCCTCAAAAACCAGTAAGTTATAGTAGAGTCCAGTTATGGTAGCGGACTATAGTAGAGTCCTGACAATCCACACCCTAATCATCTAAACACCTGCTTAATCCTGAATGGATTCAAAAAAATTAATTCAAATTGATTACTGTTCTAGTTTACAACTACTCCAAAAATTTAATTTAGTGAGTGGTAAATAACTAAAAAACAAAAAAAAAAAAAAATGCATGGCAGAAGAGAACATCCTTTATAAATTATATAATTTATTGTACATATTAATATTTTTGGAATAAAAACCATTTAAAAAAGAATAACAAGTACAAAGTCGTTACTTTATCTTCAGATTACTTGTTTGTGATGATTACTGAGAATAAAATTATCTCTCTAAAGCATTTATTCTTTGACTGTGACCATTTAGTAAAATATGTTTTATTTGAGTTTGCTCATTAACAGCAAATTCAAAATGTGTGCTTATTGCTTAAAAGTTTTTATAGCAAGATGGTGAATAACTCATGTGTAACAATAACTTTCTTTACAGAGTATGTTATTTTATATTTTTATAAATTGTAATATTATATTATTTTAGGTTTGCACTTGTGCTGTCCGGAATTGTCTTGAATGTAAAGAACGCAATCGTCTTCTAAGCTCTTCAAATATAAACTCAAAGTCAACTCATTTGCAGTCATTGATTCGAGGTGCTCAAGCTTCTCAGAAGGTAAAACTGCTTTCTTAACGTTTGATTTAATAAATAAAATGATCGTAATAAATCAAAATATTTTATTTTGATCGATATGTAATAATGTGGTTCTTCAAAAGAGCAATTAAAATAAAATTCCATTCTACTCATAAGTTGTAAGGCTTTATTTTAAGTGTAATTACAGCTTTTATCATAGCAAGGCTCACACATTTTTTAAAATTATATGTACATTCTTTAGGTGAATAAATTATAAAATTTATTTATTTATTTTAAATTAAGTGTTACTTCATTTCAGGATGTTGGGGAAGCTGTGCCTAGCCAAGGAAATCCTGTTAAGGATCCTGAAAAACTGTTGCAAGATATGGATGTTAACAGGTTAAGAGCTGTTATTTATAGAGATGTGGTATGTTTTTATAATTATTAAAATATTACTTATTAAAAATTTTATATTTTAAAAATATTTTATTTTAATTTAATTAATAATGTATTTTTTATCTGAAATAAAATTGCTTAGTTGTTTTATATGATCACTTGGTACTTGTGACTTAGCCAGTTGCCACAGAATCTCCCTTCTTATCTCGTGTAACCTCTTGTTATCTTTCCATTGCTTGTGTGTTATTCAATTGTTTTCAGTTTTTTTTTTTTTATGTTAATTTTGTTATTTTCTTTCAAATAGATTTAATAACATTTTGGGAATTGCCGTCTGCTGAAGAAGCTGTCAAATACTTCCCGAAATTCGAGATAATTCCAAATGTGAAGGTCATGAAATGGGGAAACAGATGAGTGTTTCATGGTAAAAATAAAAGAAAGAAAAGCAACAACTCAATTTGAAAATATTGAAAATAATATAGAAGAGAGATAATAAGCAAATAAATACTATAAACTATAATAGTATATTATTGGTTATGCTGACATTTTGACTGATTTTTTAAGTCTTCATCAGGGCGTGGTATCAGGCACTGCAGAAAGCAGTTGGTAGACTGGTTGTCTAGACTTTTGGACTACCAGTCTACCAACTACTTCCTGCAGTGCCTGGTACCACGCCCTGATGAAGACTTACAAAGTGGGTCAAAACGTCGGCATGACCAATAAAATACTATTTTAGTTTTGGATTTGATTGGATTAGGATTTATTTGACCAACCCCCAACCAACTCCATCCTCATATTATAATCACGGTCAACCACCTCTACACCATTATAAAAGTATTTTGTTATTATTACATTTATTTTTGTCTATTTCAATTCCCATTGATATGAATAAGAAGAGATACCATTGAAATACCACATACGGATGAATATTATGACTATTCAGGATATAAACATTGGCAGTCCGTGGCTAAGTCAGAAGTACCGATCACTTTTTACACAATCATTAAGAAATTGGTTTGTTCAAATATGTAAATCTTTAAATGGGAAGGATGTAAGTGAATATATTTTTAAAAATGAATTTTCACTTTGCTATACAAATTAAGCCTTAACAACTGTTGATTTAGTTATAATTTCCTTTTTACATTTACCATATCCATATTATACAAACTATTCTATTTATTTATTGTTTCTTTAGGAAGAAACAAAACAGGCCCAGTTTTTATCACTTGCTGTTGTCTACTTTATTTCTGTATTAATGGTCAGTAAATATAGAGACATTTTGGAACCTCCTGTGGCCAGGATTCCAACACCACCTGTTACCCTTAACAATCAACAGTCTAGTGACAGTCCTCCTGGTAAAGATATTTTGACCTAATTTTTAGAAATACTTGAATAATTTGATGCATTATTTTGTTTTGTTACTGCTTTGTTTGCTATAAGTTACTAATTAATAAAAAATCATGAATACTAATAAAAAAAAAAAAACATTTTCAAATAGGTTAAACCTTAACAATATGGAAAGTAAAAATAACTACCATTCAGTAATAAAATATATTTCTACAGCAGATCCTTATCATTATTATTTCATTTGTTCAAAATGTAACAGATTGGTTAATTCATAATGTTTTCAAAGATAAAGATATTGAATTATTTCAGCTGGTTATAACATTCACTTGAATTTTAAACTAATAGCTAGTCCTGATATAATACAGTTCTCTCTTAAATTTTGTATAACTTAGAGTTGTCCGTACTAACCTGTTATTAATGATAGTTTGTTCATGTATATTTATTTTAAAATTAATACCACTACTTGTATTTTGTTTACCTTCAGTTCATAGAATTGTATTATCAATGATTGAGAATCTAATCCCAGGATTGCAATAGTTTCTTCAGAAGTTATGTTTATTTAACAGTGCACAATGCTTTAATAGTTCTCTGTGTGGTATTTTTATCTCATATGTGAAAATCATTATGATTTTTATTTATTTTCTAACTATATACTTTTATGAACAATCATTTTTATGCCATAAATAATGTATTACTGATGTATCTGTCCTCTCATGATGTATTTTTTTAAAAGGAAATTTAATATGTCAGATATTAACCTTTTTGCTGCTGCAAGTGACGAGCTTTACGTCTACCAGAGTGCTAAGTAAGCCGGCTACCCTACTACCCGCCCGTGCTACATACTTTTTATCTGCTTTCCACCCTTCATTACCGGCTCTCACTACTATCTTTTAACCTTATTTTATTGTTTCTATTCTTTTTTATTTGGGCTGCGGACCGGCACTGGCGGAGTTAAAACTTTTTAATTTTTTTTTAATTGTATTTATGTATTTATTTTTTTATAAGTTTAAATATTTATTTAATAATTTAATTTTGTATGATATCCTTCAAAACATTTGCCATTACAAAGAAAAACCTTACAATTGCAATATTTCATCTTGGTTTTGCGTCAAATATTTTTTTTACTTTATATTTCTTTCTGCAGTAGTAATTTTAGTAACACTATTTATCCATTTTAAAGAAAATAACAAAGCAAAAAAAAAAAAAAAGACTAACTTATAACTAAAATAATTAATTCTATACATCCACGTAACTTACTAAGCTATTCTTATTTGATCTAAAATAACTAGACTGAACTAAATGACATTTTTATCAATTCAGAGCAGTTGAACACTAAATTGTTTCACATAGAACGCAAAAACAAGAATGAAATGGTCGAGACAGCCAGAGAACGGTTGAGCCAGCCATAACAGTTCATGAATTCTATTAGAAAATCTCTAAATAAGCTCCCCCCCCCATCTGTAGCCTCTAGTTAGTAGCTTTATTTCACTAGAAAACCAGTAAAATGTAGCAAGGCCGCAGCGGCTATAATCAATGTTAGCAAATGAAAGGAAAAACAGTGGAACGACTATAGTCAACATTAGCAACAGTGGCAAGTTCAGTTGCAGTGGCTATAGCCATCGTTAGCAGTTAAAGAGTTAAAACTTGTGTTGTGAATGCTCTATATAAATATATATATATATATAAGTTAAGCGTCGTCAGACTTGAAAAATAAAAAAAAAGAAGGAAAAGGGGTAGAGATGCAACACACACGGCTTCTGAAATAACACTGCTTTATTCGTTCCATAAGCCTCCTTATATACATTTAGTATGTTTATTTACATTGCCAGATGGTATTAAGGCTGATACCGCCAGTCTCCGGTCTTTATCTCCCCCCCACCAGTTTACGAACAGGATTTTCGGAAACTTAAATATTCCTAGATCGGAGCCAACGGTGACCAGCCTTAACACTTTACAATTGTTCTTACTGTACACGCTTAAAAGATAATAAAACACTTCCACTCAACTGGAAAAATAATAAAAAAAAATAATTAAAAACACCGAAACTAAACACAACACTTGAGAACTCTTAATAACCTACACACAAAACAAAAACAAAAAAAAAATACAATTTCCTATATACAATAATTCTATTTACCTGTAATAATAAAAAAAAGTACACAATTTGTTTTGTTTTAACAGGCACAAAAAAACATATTTTTCTTTCTTATATACAGCGGTGAGGGTACTACGAATCCGTAGGTCTATGGTCCGGCTCTATCATTGGGAGCTTTAATTGTTCGATATGAACGGTTCTCCTCTTTCTGGGCTCATTAACGCTTTCAATAGTTACCAGGTTATGCTCCCTAATAGCAACCACTCTGAATGGACCCTCGTACCGTAGCAATTGTTTCCCTCTGTTGGTTCCCAATCTCCGGTAAACTATTGTTCCGATTTTCAGTTCCCCCATTTGGTCGCGTACCTGCACATTCTGCCTCTCCACCCGCTTCTTCTTTTCCCGCTTAATTTTCGCCGTTATCTTTCCCCATGCTTTCTCTACCTCTACCCTATTGCTGAGAATTTGATCCACTAGCGGTTCGGTAAGCGTAGTTTCCCCATAATCCCGCCTTGGCCTGCGCATCCCGAATAGGACTTCTATGGGTGAAAATCCCGTTACGGAGTGGATCGAGTGGTTATAGGCTATTACCGCCTTCCTCATTGCCACATCCGGCTCCAACCCTTTTTCCCCCTGATATACACGGATGTGGTCGCTTAGCGTGCTGTGCAACCGTTCGATACCGCCTCTACCTTTAGGATGTCCTGGGGTGTTATAATGCCACGCAATTTCCAATCGCTTCACCTCCTCCCTAATCGCGGCATTGTCGAATTCCCTACCACCGTCCGATGTAATCCTCTCGGGGACCCCATAGAACTGCACCCAGGTTTGTAGGGCTTCCGCAACTGCATTGGCTGACTTATCCATCACTTGATGTGCCATCGCCACTTTGCTGAATATGTCGATTACCGTGACCCACTTAAACCCTTTCCAGGTGAATGTGTCAATCTGGAGGTCCTGTAGCGGCATATTCCCTGTAGGTGTCTCCTCCTGAACTCCTCTGGGGGGGTGTCGATCGTATTTCGTGCGCATGCATATCTCGCATTTCCCAATGACTTCCTGGATGGACCTCTTCATGCCCCACCAGAAATACTTCCGACACAATGCCTGCAGCATCTCGTTAACGCCTCGGTGATTGGTTTTCCCCTGGTGATATGCCACTGTGATTGCTTGCTGCTGCTCTTCGTCTTGTACCGTCTCAACAGCATACTTGCACCGGATGAATGTCCTGTCCACCCCTATTCGCTCGGACCTCCACAATCGCTTTATCTTATCCCATACCGTATTGTTTCCCACGTATAGATAGTGCGTTTTACCCGCTTCCGAGGCGTCCCTCAGTGCCGTACAGATTTGTTCTTCGCTTACTCCGGGTTGCGACCAAATGACGCGGATCCTACTTCTCCCATACCTTCTGAAATCGATTTTCATGATTCCGGCTGTTCGTGTCTTCCAAATCACCTGACGCTGTTTGTCGTTCACGATCTCATCTATCTCTACCATCTCCGCTGCCCTTTCCTCCGCTGAGCTCTCTTCTTCTGGGGACTCTCCCCTGTCCTCAATACCTGCGGTATCATTTGCCCCTTCGCCATCGGGAGTCCATTCACTCAAGAATTGACGCACGTCCCGCGATGGTCCTCCCCTATCCTCTTCAACTGCGTTGATCATGATGGCCCTAGAGAGCCAGTCTGCCACCACGTTTTCCTTTCCCGGCTTATACACTACCTCTATGTTGTATTGGCTAAGGATCTCCTTCCATCTCGTGACCCTAGCTGAGGTTTCCTTGAGTTTTCCTACCCACTGAAGGGGTTTGTGGTCGGTATGGACTCGAAATTTTCTCCCGAATACGTATGGCCTGAAATGGTCGATAGCCCATACTATCGCGAGTAGCTCCCTCTCCAAAGCGCTGTACCTTGATTCCGCACCCGTAAGCCGACGGCTTGCGTATGCTATCGGACGTTCCCCCTCACTACTTCCCTGAGACAAAACGGCCCCCAACGCATATTCGCTCGCGTCAGTGGTTATGTTGAACAGCTTTTCAAAATCCGGGAACGCCAATACAGGCTCTGCCTGCAACCTACTCATGCATTTCCGGATATTGTTCTCCATTTCCGGTGTCACCGCAATCTTCGCACCCTTCTTGAGCAGATTGTTGATAGGGACCAAATACTCTGCCATCTCGGGCACGAATCTCCGGTAATAGTTGAGCGTCCCGAGAAGCCTCCGGATCCCTTTTACGTCCCGTGGTACCGCCATCCGTGTGATCGCCTCCACCTTTGCTGCATCCGGTCTAACCCCCTCGCTAGAGATAGTGTGGCCTAAAAAATTAATTCGCGTTTGCCCCAGCAGGGACTTCTCGCTCGACAATTTCAGCCCGCATTGCCGCAGCCTTTCGAAAACTGATCTCAGATGCCCCACGTGTTCGGCTTCCGTTTTACTGAAGATGAGCAGGTCGTCCATGTACACTTGGCATACCGCGTCATCGATACCCCTCAAAAACTCGTCCATCAGACGTTGAAACGTTATGGGCGCGTTCTTCAGACCAAACGGCATTCTGGTGAACTCATAATGCCCCCTTTCAAACGTAAACGCCGTCTTATGTTGATCTTCTGGGTGCATTCGTATTTGGTGATATCCCGCTTTGAGGTCCAATGTGCTAAATACTACTGCCCCACTTAACCTATCGAGTATATCTTCGAATCTGGGGATCGGGTACTTCTCATCCAAAGTATTGTCATTCAATTTTCGATAGTCTATTACTACCCTATATCTTTCCTTGTTATCCCCCGGCACTGCTTTCTTTTTCACCGCCCACAGGGGACTATTAAAGGGTGAGGTACTATCGACGATGATCCCTTGCTCCTTTAGGCTGGCTAATTCCTCCCGAATATGCTGCCTCAGCGCCTGCGGGTATCT